CTTGATGGCTGAATCACATTCTGCCTAAAAGACATTTTTCAGCTTGTGTGACTTTTTTTTTCTAAAGAATTTTTACTTGCTTGCTACAAAGAAAATATTCTAACTAAAAGGAAATGCTAAGTTTTGTTTTCGAGATTTTAATCCCTTCATTTTTAACAATTATTCCAATTATTTAGAAAAACATGTAAAAGTATAATATGCTTTTTCTATCTGAAGGAATCACCAGTTCTAGGTATAGTTACTGTCTTCCTAAAAACCATAATTTTGATGAATAACACATCTTTCACCAAAGTATCTGAATATTGCCTCCTTTAAAGAAAGTGTTGACTGCTTTTTGTCTGCAAGCTGTTACTTCTTGGTTTAATCAAAAAGGCCACCCAAAACATTAGAACTCTGGCTGTTACTCAAGACACATCTTTGCAGGCTGGCAATGGCTTTATGACAGGTACACAACTCTCTTGTTACTTAATGCAGAATAATGGAGATTTAGATAAAAATGTTCCATGGGGAACAGAAGAAGATTATTGAATAATGAATTTATGACTCAGAAAACATTCCATAGCATCAACCAAAAATAAAACAAAAAAGGAAACAAAAAGACATGGAACATCAACTAAATTTATCATTGAGAGCATGCAATTCAGTGCTGATTGGAAAAAACAGTCACATCACTTGGAAAGGTGTCATGCTGCTGGAGTGGACAGAAGGATAGTGTTCAGCAGGATCTTTGATGGCACTCATGCATGGCTGGTGGCAGATGCTGGCACAGGAACAGCTCTGGGAGACAGCAGGCAGCCCTGGTGGAGTGGAATGCAGACTTCCTCTGACAGAGTGCTCAAATCAGCACCCTCAAAGACACCAAGAATAATCAACATCACCTTGGGGAGAAGGACCTTAAGAAAAGTGGGACACCAAGCTTTGCCAAGTGCACAACTGAAGCTCCCCCTCATCAACATTGCATGCAAAGTAGGAAAGGCACAACTCAGTATGACTGAGCTCCCCTAGAAGAGGAGTGGCCAGCAGCAACAGGGAGGTGATTGTCCCTCTCTACTCTGCTCTTGTAAGGCCCCATCTAGAGTACTGCGTCCAGGTCTGGAGCCCCCAGTACAAGAAAGACAAGAAGCTGTTGCAGAGGGTCCAGAAGAGGGTCACAAAGATGATCAGGGGACTGGAGCACCTCCCCTACGAAGACAGGCTGAGGGAGCTCAAGTGACCTCATTCCTTTTCAGTACCTAAAGGGAGCCTACAAACAGGAGGGGAATCAACTTTTTTAAAGGGTTGATAACTGCAGGACAAGGGGAAATGGTTTTAAGTTGAGGGAGGAAAGATTTAGGTTGGATGTGAGGGGGAAGTTCTTTACAGAGAGAGTGGTGAGGTGCTGGAACAGGCTGCCCAGAGAGGTTGTGGATGCCCTGTCCATCCCTGGAGGTGTTCAAGGCCAGATTGGATGGGGCCCTGGGCAGCCTGGTCTAGTATTAAATGGGGAGGCTGATGGCCCTGCATGTGGCAGGGGGCTTGGAGATTCGTAATCCTCGAGGTCCCTTCCAACCTTGGCCATTCTGTGATTCTGTGAAACATCTCTCTCTCATCAAATCTACATGGGACCTCTGGTCTTTGTGCTCGTAAATGTTGCTCTTCAGTCAAAGTTTGGTTGGGATGGCTATAGAATCAAATCTTAATTTAATAATTTCTATGGGTCTGATAACTCTGTGTCTCTGTTAGATTTCCCGTTTTTGTCCATAGCTCATTTCAGCTATAAGATCTTTGTAGTAGCATCTTTCATTACATGATTGCATGGTATCTGCGACTGCAGAGAATGTAGTTAATTAATTTAACTCAGATGGAACTTCACTGTGCTGAATAATGGCAAAGAGGTATAACCTCTAAATAAATAATCTGCTATTTAATTTTAATTAATGTCTGGTGTACTGTGATAGTTCCTCTTTGAAGCTTTGAATTGTATCATTTCTTTATGAAAATCCCAATTACCTGAAAAGAGGAATTTACCAATTGCTGTGTTCCTGTGCTGTGTAGTCTCTCTGAAAGCCTTGCAGGAACCCTTCCTTTCAGCTGGGACAACACTTTGTATGTTTCTGTGTGAACTGTTGCTAAAAGGTGCGTTCTCAGGCTGTAGAGCTGACACACACTTTCTTTGAAAAACAAAACAAAACAGATCTGTCTGTATTCAAGATGCTTTAAAATTGCCTTGCCAGTATGTTAAACTCTATAGAAAAATGAACAAAGGATTTCTTACTAGAAACGCTGTAAATTATATTTTCTTTTGCTTACCGCCAAGAGAGAAATTAAGAAGACATTTAAATTGAAAATAAATTACATGGAAAAAAAATGAATTGAATGTTCATGAAACAAGATGGTTCGATAATATAATCATACTTAAAGTTCATGGTGGACAGCTCTGCTATGTTTCTTTATGGGACTTCTGATGTAAATTTCCTCCCCCGCCAGTTCTAATGAACTGCACATATATATACTTTCCCATAAAAACAAAACAAAACAAAAATCACCATTTAATGGCCTATCAAGTATGGCTACTCTTGTGTCTGGATGCTCTGCTTATGTAAGTATCTTTCTGGTGCTGTTGCTAAAAAAGGTGATCACAGTTGCAAGATCAACTCTGAAGGTAGCTACGTAAATTATATCGGAAATTGTTCCTTCTCTTTTGGGTAGGAGGTGTATTTCTCATTCCCCATGGTTTGTCAGCCCTCTAAGCAGCCCCACAAGCACAGTGGTGGTTATTCACAGCAGGACCAGCAGGTCCCTCCCACACACAACAGGCTGAGGCAGGTAACAGCACATTCTGCAGAAAATGTAGATAGCATTGCAAAAATGCTGTTTGCCTTCCTTAGCTGATTGACTAACAGAAAAAAAAAAAAAAATACTGTGTGAGCAGAAATTTAGATTACAGTCTCCTTTTCCTGAAAGTAAGCTTGAAATGGGGCTCAAATCAAATCCCTCCACACCTGTTAATCAGGAGTTTTTGCAGAGAATCAGGCACTTGAGGTCTGTCTATCCCAGAAATACCTGCAGGGGGTGTGGCACCATGGATTGATGGATGATTTCCACTTGGATCAGTTGAGTCCCTTCTCTTTTCCCATCTGCCTTGGTGACTCTGGCAGCCACTGATAGCTGTTGAAAGGTTCTCACCAGGAGTGTGTGAGGCTGTGCCACCAGTGGCAGCACCTGTGATAAGTTTATGCTTAGTGAGTCAGCAGGGAGAAACTTTGGTGCATGGCTGAAAGCAGGAAAGTTGAGCTGGCAAACTAGAGGGACTCATATAGCCCCTGGTAGGAGACCAGATAGACACCAGGAGCTGTCCCAAAACATGAAGCCTCCTGGAGATTTCTGGTTTGCCTGAGCATACAATGAGAGCAAAGGTTCCTACTGGCTCCCCAGACAATCTCCCAGGATGACCAGTGTGCTCACCCTGCTGCTGGAGAGCCCAAAACACCACAGGCAAAGGGACATAAGTCAGAAAGGACTGAGGATCTCCAAATTCTAGCCCAGAAAACAGCTGAATATGCTGTGAGACATGAGCCAAGCCCAGCACTTGGGAATACTGCAGAAAGTGAATTTGCTGATAAATGACATTTACTGACACCCACAGAGAGTGTATATTGCGGGAGAGGGGATGGCGATGCCACAATTGCTGGGGCTCTGCCTGGGACCAGTGGATTACACTGTAGCAGAAGATGCCTGGGGTATCAGTGCAAAAACAATGGAAATATTTCCTCCTTTTGAGCTGCGTGTTGGTCCATGATAATGTTGTCACCGTGACAGTGACATTGAAGGAAAAGCCATGGTCAGTAGAGCATAAACACATGGAACTCGGGGCACACAGTGTTGCTGTTTATCCTCACTGGGGCATTCTGTGAAATCAGTATTACTGAAGCAGCAACAGCACACAGGGGAGGAGGAAGCAGCAGTTGCTGTATTTGGAATGTATCAGTTTCCAGGTCTGTTTAGGAGTTTTCTTTCATTTGATAGACATGGGGCCAAAAAAAGAAGTGTTCGAAATGACAGAGTTCAAGGACCACAGTAGTGCAGCCCATAACCCCTCACACAGGGGCTGAAAGAGTTAGCTGGGTAATTCACTGCCTCTTTGCTCATGGCAGAGGGGCCAGAACTGGACACCTGAGGGAGAAAAATGGGTCCTCTCATTGCATAGACCCCAAAGGATAAAAAAAAGTACAAAGAAAATATTTTGCACCATTCAAAATAGGAGTCACTTCTGCAGAGGTGGCTGGTACTAAATATATCCTAGCGCTTGATGCATCAGCAGGGCTCTGGCAGGGGCCCTCAAATAAACACTGCAGATCACTGTGGCCACTCAGCTTTTCTCTGGGAATTCTTTTGGGCTCCTTTCATACCAAAAGGGAAATGAGTTTGGAGAGAGCTATGCTTTGTAGCAGAGCATGGCCCCAGGTCACCGGCATCTTTGGAAACAGCTGTGGTGGCTGCTGTGCATCAGAGCTCCAGCAAAGATTCAACACTGATCAACAGTATTGGAGAGGGCACCTTTGGCTTCAGCCCCTCACATACAAACTATTTTAACTTTGCCTGTGAGAAGCCACTGTTAAATGAATCTGCCCATAAATCATTTCTTCCCCCTGGTGAATACAGAGGTGATTTTTGTTTGAGATTATAAATGCCTAATAAAAAAAAAGGCTAATAGGGAAATGTGCTGCTAGAACATTCTATGCAGGTTTTGATGAAAGCACTGAGGAGTAAAATACAGAGTAGGAGATGTGACATTAAAAAAAAAATCTATCAAAGTCATAGACAAAATGCAGATTGCTATTAAGAGAGCAAAAAGAGATTTTGAAAAAAAGAGAGGAGGGGAGGGGAGGGCGAAACAGAATTGAATTTGTTAGCACAGGGTATCTGACATAGTATGCCTTCAAGCTCTTTTTTCAACTGAAGGGCATGTTCCTAGTAGTATGCTAACAAATACCTGACCAGCTAATTCTCAGACATTACAGAAAATATTTAGTAGAAGTAAATATGGTTTAGAGATGTAAATATTTAAGAGAAAGAGTGTTTTCTATTAGCTCCACATGAACACTCACGTCAGAGAAGTTCATCTGGTAAAATGCAAGACAATCAAGTAAAGGAACCGTTGCTGATAGCAATTGAAAAAAAGAAAGTTTTTGTAGGAAAAGGTAAGCATAGGTAGAGTAAACTCATTTGTGATAAAGAGAAGTAATCCCCAAGACAGAATTCATGAGTTTTAACTAGTCAGAGTAAATCTGAAATAGTAATGCCTGACTTCACAGTTTGGTTGGCAGAGATTTAACATGTGACATAATACTACTATGGAAATATCAACACTCATCCCATCATTCCTCTAACTGTCAAGTGGAGAAGGTATCAAAATAATAATATGTATCATAAAAATAGCATGTAGTCTGCCTCTGATCTGTGTTTATCACTGTTACTGTACAAAGCTTTACTAGTATAGCATGGATTATTGCCTGCTGATATTTGGTTCCTACAGCTGTAGATACACTTACGGTACTTATTCCGAATGACACTTCAGCACAATGTCTCCAGTAGCAACATAGAGCAGTATAAGCTGCAATACAGCACATATGCCATTATATGTGATGTCCACATGTGGTGAGATTCGAAAATACAGTGCACCAAGGTATCCACATCTCCAGAGGTGGATTGGATTTGGTCCAAATATTCCAAAAAGCCTGGCTCAATTCTGGGATTCTGAAACAGAGGAAAGTGGTTGACAGCTGAAAGCCAATAAGATGCAGTGATGGCCCTCATCCAGGTAGAGAAGAACAGGAGTGGCTCTCGTTTGGTGGGCTCTGAAGTGGAGTGCCTTGATTGTATGGCATTGCCAGGACTTGGTGAGGGTCACATCCTACTGCCTTTTGGCTGGTGGAAACTTGCTCTGCACAGAGGTCCCTGGATGAGGGAAGAGAATGAAAATGCACTGTATCTGAGTTGGGGAGGGAAAGAGGGAGCTCTAAACCTTGAAAGCCCCCAAAATAGAGTTTAATTATTAATCTCATCTATGTATCTACTCCTGCTTTGTTTGTAGGCCTCTGGCAAGTTGAACATATAAAAAAATGTTTGTTTCCATCATAGCCATTGGGCTTGAGTTGTTTGATTTTCCATTATATCAGTATCATGTTGAATGCATTTTATTCATATTGGACACAGAGGATTCAAATATCCAGGGAGTAAAATTAGGCAGGCTTGTAAAATGCAATTTGAGACAATTTCTTCTTTTGTCTGGTTTCCAAAGGAAATAAAACTTGTGCAACCACATTGTCTGACTATATTTCTCTGTCCGCCTCTCTGCTCGCCTGCTTAATTAAGGTCTAACCCCAGTCTCTGACGAAATTTAAGAGAGTGATAGAGGGAGCAACTAAGTACAATCCATAAAGATCAGTGGCTAGAAGAGGAAGGCTCTACACTGGAGGAGAATGGCTCTAACCACAGTGTAACAGAGAGAAAGGCTGCATTCTGATCTTGCAAAGTCAGACATTACTAAACCAGAGTGAATCCACATGAGAGGAAGCTCTGAAAACCCCAAAGCCAATGGTTTGATCAGACCTTGAATGTCACTAGACATAAATCAGCAAGGGGACAAAAGGAAATAAATTTAGTTCCAATATTCATGAAATTACTTGAATAACACAAAGCTAGCATTTATTGGGTTGCTCAGTCATTGGATCTGACTTGGTTTATATTCAGTTCAGGGTTTTATATAAACTGCTATGCAGCAAAGAGGATAGTCATTAGCATAACCTATGACAAGTTACGTTAGTTTAGGTTATGTAGGAACACGGATGAGATCTTGCTTACAGCAGCTGTTTGTGCCTTTTTTTTTTCTAGTGTTTTTAGCAACAGGAACAAAGTCCCTGCAGACCTAGGCTGACCTCACAAAACTGAAAGCACATATGGATCAAAATTCAAGTTTCCAGTCCTGGAAGATCTCAGTGAGATTGCTTACAAGATTTTATAGCAAAAACTTAAAATGATGTTAGCAAGATGAAAAAATTACCTGAGGAGCTGAGGGAAAACTGAAGCATCACCCCACAACTCTCAATCTTTTTTTAAGCAAGAGTCAGTTTTCTGTACTTAACATATTTGGGATGCAGGAGAACATGGGACAAGACTGAAGTTTTGTACCTGCATAGCTAAAAACAAGGAAGCTGTGAATGAAATGCTGTACAGTCAGTCATTCAGATTATCAGTGTCAAAGGATACCAGCAGGTATGGTTGCCCTGAGCTCCTCTTCACTGTCATTCATCAAAAATTTGTATTCACTTCCAGAGGGGAAGCAAGGCATTGATACACTCAGCTCCTGTTTCTGCTTTTATGATCCCCACCAAGTCAAGGGGGAACACTGTGGACAATCTCAGTGTATAGCTGTGTAGGAGCACAACTGAAATTGCATATGCTGCCTTTAACTAAAGCCTGCCTTGCAGATACTTTAAGATATTTCGACCCAGTCATGGCTGAATGAGTTGGGGCTATGTCAGGTAACCATCTTGTATTTTGTATCTCTTTTTCTAGGGTTCATTTTTACTATTTTTTACTAGTTATCACATGTCATATTTTGCCTGTTGCTTACACCATGCTTGAATCACACACTGCTGTGTAGTGCTGGGCTGTAAGTTAAGCATTTTCTTCTTTTTCAGCCCATTCCTGAATGTTCTGCTAGCAGTCATCGCGAAGTTAAGCTTTTTGACAATATCCAGTCACACCAAATTAATGAGAAAAATGTAGCTTGGGATCAAAAGTTACACCACCCACAGACACTGTACCACCCACAAGCATGTTGCTATACCCTTGTCATATTCCCTTTATTTTCTCTCCTTCTTTCTCTCAGAATGTACCAAGGCTGTGAGCCTGCAGTGAGAGGGGCTCCCTGGTCATTTTTGTTCCCTGCAGTCTCACTCCTTTGCTTATTACCAGTGAGAGATCTGCAAGAAAGCAGTATCTCTGTGTGTCTGCTTTCCCCAAAACACAAAGCACAAAGGGTGTGAGTGGGACCGACATCATGGTTACCTGGGTCTCAGCCTACAGATCGTCCAGGGCCTTCCAGAGCTTTTTTGCCTTTGCCTTCCAGCTGGGAAGCACATCTGGGGTTTATAGTTTCAAGATAGCCACAAAGTTGTCATGAACATTTTTTATGACATCGTGCAATACATTTAATGTTGAATTGAAACACTTCTCCATCACCGTGCTCTCACAATTTATAACCTATGCGCATAGCAATTTGTAACATACCCTCGCACAGAGCTCAAACAAACCAGAGGAATTCTGAAAGAAAAAAAAAAAAAAAAAAAAGCTAAGAAGCGGAGTGAATGGCATGTGTAGAAAACTTTACAATACAAAATATGTACAGCTGGTTAAACAGTGACCAAGGAAAACCCTGGTAATTGCTACTTCTACAGAGTGTAAACAGGCAAGGCGGAGACAGAACTTATTTAGCCTGGCAGTCAACACTGATTTGGGGTTACAGTGCCACAAAAAAGGACTGCCAGAACCCCAGCAGAGTGTCTACAGGCTCAGTCATGCAGAAATTGCCTCTCCGGGTCAACTGCTTGGAGGGGAGATCTCCTGTGGAGCAGCTACAGCTGCTGGGCCAGAGCAGAGCAGGGGAGATGCGCGACCATGGCTATGGAGCCTCTGCAGTGCGGTTTTGCCTCCCAGATGAGATTGGGAAAGTGCAGCCCATTGTTCCTTTGTCTTTAGATGTTATTTTACTTGCTTGCCTCATTTCCATAATGCTCCCTGGCCTCCCAGTAGCCCAAATTGGTCTGATGAATACAGTCTTGTGTGGTTTATGATTCATTATTCCCCATGTCCTACCCTCTTAGTCTTGCACGAGGTAATCTCAGTCCCTGTGCAGAAGGGTCTTGCTGGAGCCTTATTTAAAAATTATGGGCATGAAACAAAAGCATTTTTCTTTTCTTCTCCGTGTGTCAGCCACAGATTCCTGCCTACTCTTCTGTCTCATCTGGAAGTGAACAAGAGGAATGAAGACATAACCACCTGAAGATCTGAGGCAACAGAATGACTTGCTGCACAAGGGAAAATGAGAGAGAATGTTCCTTCTTATCTAGAAAACCTGGGAGTAGGAAAAATATAGAATTCAGGGAGAGTGGAGAGAATAAGAAGGAGTAAATGAGTGCTCACATCTCCAGGTACATTCATATTTCTCTCCATTATTGCAGAAGGAATAGCTGACAGAAAAGAATTACCATGCTTCTCTATGACATCTCCTTGCTGTATGTACTGTGTGGTGCCACAGATGCTTTATAAAGGCTTCACTCAGATTTCACTTCCCAGATTCTTAGTATTCCAAGGAAGAGTAAGGAGTCACGGAAATGAGACAGAAAAAAAATGTATAGCCTCTTCAGGGAGATTTTATGTCAAATTGAGAAGCTGCATGCCTATATGAGGTAACCTTGATGTTTGGATGTCATTAAAGCTTTGTAATCTTAAAAAAATATTACAGTTAGAAGACATCACCAAAACTTGGTGGTATTCACCATTCTCTTGCCAGCACAGACTAGTTAATGCCAACTAGTGGTATTGCACAGTGTCAGTATCCCAAAGACATGAATTCCTCTTCACTTTGAGGCTTTTCATAGCTTGTGCCTTTAGGAAATATTTTTCTGTCATTAAACTTCTGGATGCTTGTCTCTTTTCTACAGTCTTATTCCCACACTGGTACCAAACTAATAATTCCTTTACCTCTTTTCAAGACTGGCACCACTGTCATAATTCACCCTTAATGGTGCGGTGATCCAGAAGACATTCAGTGATGCATTTTGGTGGGTAAAATCTTCTTTCAGTTGTATATCAGATTTAAGATCTCACACTCTCCCATATAAATATTTGCAGGTACTCCTTCAGAGTCAGCAAGAATGATATATGTAGTTCCTTCTAATAAGTCACTTGCTGCAGCTCATTAATCATTGTTATTACCCTCTCCATGCATTTGGTGAATGTAGCAATATGGTACTTGAGTACTTCTGAAAATAAGACACCTCATTAATTGAAGCAATGTCTAAAACCACTTTTATTTTGCTATTCATTAACAACTTCACAAGTAGGTTTTAGTTCACAAGAGTCCTTCCAGAATTAGCCACACTGTAACTATTTGCATAAATAAATATTTATATTGAAAATAACATTCAAAATGGAAGATTATATTTGCACAAAAGATTTGTCTGGGCATTATGCAATTATGTGGCTCTTTATCTGTTCAAGAAATACATTAAATATTTTTCTTTAAGGTTATTAGCCTTGCTGCTTAAACAGAGGGTATATGAAAGGAATACTTTCCTAAGCAAGTAAAAGGTTTCTATGCAAATTATTTTTGCAAAAATTCAAAGTGATACATAGAAGTATTTAATATCATATTTCAAAAATGGAAACAAGGTCACTAGTTCTTTAGATATAAAGGTAATGTTACTAATTGGAATAATTTTCTTTTCACTTCTGTGTAGAATTGAGTTTAGCAGCAGTCACTTTTCTTCTGGACAGATATGAAAGAAACTCTATCCCTTACTCCATCATGTTGTGCTTCAGTAGGTGACAACAAATATGCAGTGATAACTTTGAACAACAACTTACCAAATTCATCCCCACTGTTACCACGGATGTTTAACACTGTGGCATCCATGGATTTCTTTTATATGCACAGAGTGAACTTCAGTCTGTTTGCATAAAACATCCTTGGGCAGACTCAAAGCTTTGCTTTTCCTTGTCTCCCAGGGATTACTTTTGATTTTGATAAATCAGGTGGATTTATGAGACTGGGGAGTTTTGTAGATACCCTTCCCTCTTCCCATGTTGAAATGCTGATGTGTTGCATTTTAGTGCAATGTCACAGTACTAGACACAGGGAATAAGAGGGAGCAAGCTGGGGTGGCAGAAGAGGGACTCCTCTCAAGGGCACACATGGTGATTCCCAGTGGCCTACAGCTTTTAGTCTTTCAACACTGGTCCTTGCATCACACTCAACCTGAGATCCCAGAGTGCCTCACTTGGCCTTTTGGAGGTCATTTCAATGACCCATGTCCAAATGGCTCCATGCTGCTCCTGGCTGTAGCAGAGAGCTTAGAAGCTCAGTGGGGTTTCATATTAACAAACCTGGACTCTTGACCTCTCATGGTGGTGATGTGTTGGCTGTTGGACTAGATGATCTTAGTGGTCTTTTCCAGCCGTAATGATTCTATAATTATACGATTTTGAATCTTCTTTCCTCTCTCAGATTGTATCTGCACCTAATTGCTTGAAGCAGGATTAAGTTCAATAAAAATATATTAATTTGGCTCAGGACAGAAGGCTCAGAACTTTTTACTCTTTGTACTTTTGTCTTTCATTTGCCTGTGCTCCTCCAGTCACATTGCCATTGCAAACTGGGAAATTGGTTGTGGCATAAATCTCTGCTCCTCTGTGCATGTCAGTATCAGCACTTCAACTCTGCTGCACAGGTAGAGAGGAGAAAGAAATGGAAGAGAAATGAGATTATGGTCAGTGAAGTTTCGAAAATGACATGAAAGCTGCAAGCTTACCTTGGCCTCCAAGTATTGAAATGTCTTTTTCAGCAGTGGTAGAATATTCTTTTGGATATTTTATGCACTACACATTCAGATCTCTGTTGTCTTGCACATCCATGATAAGTTGATGTACTCTGTATCAAAGATTACATAGTGCTTAAAATTATTTTTGTGAGAAGAAAAGAAACATGGCCTACAATAAAGAGATGTGTGGAGCTAGCGCAAACGGGGCAATCTGACCTAACTGAACAGAGCTGGGTTGTAATGACAAAATACTACAGAAACCCAAGCATTTTTGGAACAACGCCACTACATTCAATTTCTTCCCTCTGCACCACAGGAATCAGGTGTCTGCAGTGATGATGGTGATGGAGGAAGGTGGGAAAACTGCAAAAGAGAATTTCTATGTAGGAAAGTGCATACATAGGTAAAACTGATGTGTGGATGGTGGCTCTCCTTCTCTGAGTGTTCACTCAACCTCCTCCTTCCCTCCAAGCTCAAGCAGACTGGAGATGGCAGTGCACTACCTACCTGCAGGAGCAGAGGTTATACTGACTGATCTCAGGTTATGATGCAGCCATTGATCTGCACTGGAAGTAGAGCTGGCCATATGGAAGTTCGCTGGCAAATTCCCTCAGTTATCCCTAATCTTGTCAGCTGCACAGTTCTTCTGTGGGATCATCTCACTGCATCACCTGCCTCCTCCAGAGCATACCATGGCATGGGACTGGTTGGCTTTAGTTCAGCTGGATGTGCCAATTGCAGGTACCAAAACAGAACAATGTTAAAATACCTTTAGCAGTGAACTCTACAGCGGAAACAGTGTCTTTTCCTTTGTCAAGGAGAGATAACATTTCTGGAATTAGGGATGGAAAATTTACTTTTACAAACTATTTTTTCCAATTTCATGTGTGTCAGCTCCTGAAAAGTCACATGCAGACCATTGAGAGTCACTCAAATTTTGTCCTGGCATTTCATGAAGTTTTATTTACCAGATGTTACTCCACAGTTACTATAGATATCTTTACATGCTCCTTACGGAGAGGAAGTGTTCTCTTAGATATCACTGTGATAATTATTAGCAAATTCATTGGCAAAATGTAATTAGCATGTAATTATTAGGAAATAGAGGCAATCAGTCACTGCAAAAATTCCTCCACTGGTATCACAGAGTAGAAAAAGGAAACAGAAAATCACCTTTTCTGAAGCTTAAAAAATCAGAAGTAATTAATGTAGAAAATCAGTCACAGCAAACAGGCTGCATGTATGTTTGAGGAGGAATACTGCAGCCCCCATTACAATCTCCTTCCCTTCTAAGGATGGCTGCGTGCAGGGAAGGCTACGGGTTTGCACCATGTGTTCAAAGAACAGCAGTCAGCTGACAGCAAGAAAAGCAGGCAGGAGCATACATAAGCAATTGTGGCTTTTTTCCATACAATTGTAATTGTAATGCACTGAGGGACATTACAGCTGGCACGTACTACTCACAGACACCAGAGGGAGGGGAAAAGAATGCTTTCACAAAATTGATAGTGCTTTTGAAAAGGCCATAGCAACATTAACTCTTCAAAGCAGGAAGGCTGGACTTGCAATGTGAGGATATTTTGCTAAGTAAGGATACATTCACTCATCCTCAGAGCAGCATAAACAAGGAACTGCTGTTTCCGAAACAGCCCCTGTCACACACAGAGCAGCTGATGGAACAAAGAGCCACATTTGGACATGTTCATAGTGACACCAGGGAATACGTATTGCTGCCCAATCTTGGTACTGCCAAAGAGGTGTTGCTCCCAAATCACAGAAATAATCCTTGCATCATGCTCTGTTGTGCATCCGGCCTTAACGTAAATATTTTGGTTTAGAGGAGTGTACTGAGCTAGGTTGTGAAATGAAAGGAGATGCACTGCATGTGAAGCTGACTGATTGCTCTATGCTTCACTGAATATTAAAAGGCTGATTGCTTTTTTTTCAGCTTTAAAAGTGCAAGATCCTTTACTTTACCACTCACTATTTACTTTCACCCAGGCCGGACATCACCTTTAATGCCAGATCATCCTGCTCCCCTTTGGGATACCAGCAAGCCTCAGGGCTGATTTTCTATTTATGAAGCAGAGAAGGCGGCTCTGCACCGGGACAGCTGGGACATAGCTGTCAGTCCCTTTTCATTATCAGCAGCACCCAGCTGGATATCTGGAATTCAGACACTGAGGGAGAAGTATGTTTGCTTGCATTTTAAAAACAGGTTGATTGCTGGGTATGAATACCCTGCAACAGTTGCTCAACTTTGCCTCTGTGAAACAGAACAATTCCCAAAGGCTGATAAAAGCAAAAGAGAAATCAAAGTGCTCCTTGCACATCAGTTCAGAATCTGATATGCGGTGGGGTTTTGCTTTTTCTGCAAAATATTCTGCACGTGATATATTTTTAAAGGACAAATATCCATAACAAAATCAACACTGAGTAGAAAACCCAAGTTGTCATTGCTTGAATACCATTGCCCATTGCCACTAATTCCTTGTGAAGTAAATAATTATGCAGCTCTAGCAGCTTTAGGATTTGCATGAACACTGAATGAGAAGCTATTGCTGGGCATCACTACAAGTGATGTTCTGTTTGCCATATGTCAAACAAGCAATCTTGGCTTAATCCAGAACAGAAAATCTGTTAATTCATAGTACAAAGATTAGGATTTGTGCAGTGGCAATGCTGCCTGGAACAAGAAAATTTGCTAAAGGCCTTCTTGGGAGGGCTTGCAGCCGGTGTCAATGACAGGAGTTTAAAGTGTTTCCCTCCCTAATTCCCACTAGCAAATGATTTGGATGAATCTTTTACTTACTGGCCTCTGAAGTAAACTTCCCCTTGCTAAACTAAGCTTGTAATCTGTGGCAGATGAAAGCAGTTCCCTTTTGGGACTTCAGAATTCATTTAGCACAGTGATTCAGTTCTGTTCTTTTTTATTTCTTCACTTTGAAATAAGTCTAGTTTCCATATTACCCACAAAGAAACAGTTCATCAGGAGTCCTGGTGAAGAACTCCTCAAGCATCTTTCTTCCTTCTTTATTTTGCCTTGAGGACTGCTATTAAAAAATCCAAAGTCATTTTGTTTTGCTTAGATCACCAGAAATAGCTGGGCTAGCTAGGTGGTCATTTGACTTCCATTTAGAAGTTTGAGGTATTTTCCAACTGGCTACAGTTTGACCATGCTCTGGTTGTTAAACCTAGGCTACACTTTATGCATAACACATTCTTCATAACAACTGAGAAATCTCTCCACTTGTTCTCTACTTCATCAATGGAGTTTTACTATTTTGCAGAAGTAGCCATTATTCAGAAGGACAACCACATTGTAAACTTAAATAGTACACTCTATGTACTTGAAAAACAAGCCAGTGCTTTTTAAGGAAAATCCCTTAAGTGTAGCCCAGATAAAACCAGAATAAACAAACAAACAAACAAAAACTAACAATACAAAAAGCCATGTTTTTTGAATGCTAATCGTCAGCTATTCTCACATCTCAGAATTTGTGTGCAACCTGTAGGTTCCTTCAGGCTATCAGGTTAAATACGAGATGATGAAATAGCATAGGTGTGCAATAGCCTTTATAGAATCATAGAATGGACTGAGTTGGAAGAGTCTCTTCAAGGTCACCTAATCCAAATCTCCCGAAATGAACAGGGACACTTACAGCTCAGTCAGTGTTCTCAGAGCCCCATCCAGCCTCCAGTGTTCCAAAATCCAATCACAAAAGTTTCTTCTGCTCCTCTTACATTCTTCACACTTGCACTAGGCCTGCTGGAATTGGAGTTACGGTCTATGTGAGCCTTTACAACTGGGCAGCAATTACAAATTTTGCTGATGGTTTCAAAGAAATAATTATTAGTGTATTAGTATTAGTGAGCTGAAACACACTGTTCCCTTTTCAGAAGATAAGTTAAGACCCTAAATTTGCATATCACCAAACATTGGGAAGACCTTGAGAGAAACTGAATCTGTGTTTTACTGCTGAAGTTTATCACCTCATAAACTTCATTTCATAAGTACCTCCATTTTTTAAAGCATAAGATCTATGCAATTTACTTTCTTTGTACATCCTTTGTATCAAATTACCTACTTACTTGTACAACAAAGACTGAAAAAGATGAGATTCAAGATGACTGAATTTAACTTCAGTCTCTGAGAACAAAGACGTACAAGAGGAACCCAACAAAGAACAGTATCACCTTCTATAGCACTGTTGAAACAGAGAGATCACTAAATCTTCTATAACACTTGGCATACAAAATTTTACCTCTCTCAAAATCCATGAAGACTTTGATGAAGAGCCGGTGAAATGATTAAACCAAGGAGGCTGACTCAGTATTTTCTAGCTATCTGAATTCTGTGCTACTGCATTGCTCTCCTCAGCAGCAACTCAACACACAGAAGAAAAACTTTCTTCATTGAGTACCTAATATTTCCAGGCAGGATCCTTTTCCCATGCCAGCATTTAAAAGCTTGTGTCGAGACATTGCCTTGGTCAGAACCAAGACAGAGTGAATTAAAACAAGTGTTATTCCAAGAACAGCTGTCCGCTTAGTTTTATGGCTACCCTTCCAATTCAAGCAGGCAGTGCAGACCAATTCCCCAGTGAGGACAAGCCTAGGATTTGCTTGACAGCTCATCTCAGGTGCTCCTCAGTGTGCTGAAACAAACCACATGTTTGCCACAGGGATGGCTCGTGGCAAGGTGGAAGGAGAGCTGACTATAGAATCATAGAATTATAGAATCATAGAATTTCTCAGGTTGGAAAAGACCTTAAAGATCATCAATCCTCCGCTGTGTGCTAGCTCATTCTCGCTCTCTCTTCCAATCTGGAGCAAAGTGAGATGGTTTCTGAGCTGGATAAACAGGAAATCACACAGGCCTTCACCTTCTCCTGCCTCACATCTCCCAGTGTGACTAAGGTGAGCCCTGGTGGTAAGGAGGGGATTCAGACCCTTCTGACCCACTGACTCAAGATGATTGACAGGCAAATGGTAACAAGAATAAAATCTGTCATCCGTAGTGCAAAAGCACTTTGTGGCATTGGTGAAAAGCTAACAGTGGGTACTTATCTCAGAAGATGGAAAGCACATGATGCCTTCAGTCAGTTGTCATTTAAGAAGAATGTAAGTGAGCTTTTAATTTATGTCTGTAACATGAGCATACAGACTACTCTTCTACATATTTAGAAAATAAGAATATCTTGTTATAGGAAGTGGTACCAAGGGCAGACAACTCTTATGCTAAATTGTGGCTGCCTGAGGAGGAGAGTTATTTTGGTGCAGCACAAAAGATCCATTACATGGGTGTTGTTTCTCTTTTTTTTTTTCCCTGAAATTAACAGCTGTCTTTTGTTTAATCATTGTGTATATAAAGAAAATAAAGTCATAAGACATCGAGCATGTCTAGCTTTTAATGGCACTCGTTGCCAAGGAGAAAGCCTAAAGTTTGCATAACAGCAGAAATCAGCACTGCCTTAATTTTGCAACATGTAGTAATTTTGCTGTAGCTGAAAACTCCAGAAGGAAGCCTTGTTTCATTTCCAACACAAATCACTTGTTTGTGCAACTTCTTGGCACAAAAGTGCAGGGAGAAATAGCAAGGTACTTTTCAGCTCACAAGCATCCTTTTCCTTCTCTGAGGCAGCAATAATCGTTGTTGAAATATATCGTTAAAAACAGGAAGCTTTATCATTATGATTTTCTAGCAACCTCGCCCTTTCTTGTGAACCTGACCCTGGCTATGAATCGTCTGCTTTGATTCAAACACAACTATTATAAGACTGAAGCTCAGGTATTTCCTATTTTGCTCTAAAGCATTCACAGCAAATGCTCAGAGACAGCACTTCTCCGAGAGAGACAAGCAGCACTGAGAAGGAGCACTGCTTGTTAGAGCTGTACACAGGAGACTCGTGTTTAGATCGTGCTTTTGTTTTTGTTCTATTTCTGCAGAACAGAGGGAATGAGGAGACATCTCTTGCACTGGGTGAACAGTTTCTCCAGGGGAAAGGAGAAGGAAAATGCTGAGGATGAATTTGCAGGAACTATAGCATGGGTAAGGTTTTTTGTGTATATAGGTCGCTCCAAAAGTAATGCCTCCTATTTATTTCTATGGAAACTAGAGCAGACAAAACAGTAAAATAGCACTGTTTAATAGAGCAAATTCTCAGCTGCAAAACACTCTTTTTCAGCATAGACACCACTATTAGCTATGCACTTTCAACAGCAATAAACAAGAGCCTTCATGCAGCACTTGTAACAATCTGCACCAGTGGAGATTACCCACTGTTGCTGTCGCCACTGCTGAAACACACCACCCACCCCTCACTGTGCTCACATCTACTGTTTGATCTTCAGAAACATTCAGCAAGCATCGATGAATGTCACTGGGTGCATTTCTTCTGCATGGAGGAATTCAATGACACATCTTTGCTTCATCTACACTCCCATGTCAGACACCATTCTGTCAGACTGTGTTTCTGCTGCCATCTGTCACATGGCAACAAAATATAGTGGAAGATTGGTGGGAAGGTTCAAACTCTACTGCCATACCACCAACATCTGTCTCTGACATCATGGGCCAACATAATAAAATAGAAGGCATTGTTTTTGGAGCAGCCCTCATATAAGCAACAAGTAAACACTTCTTCTGATGGTACTTAGCAATAGGTCCTCGGCATAGGACCATACCAATGATGGCAGACACGTTGGGATGCACTTGCAGAGTTGAGCATGTCTGCTCAGCAGTGCTGGCTGTTCACTCCCCAGAAGAGGCGATGCCAACCAAGACCAGTGCCCACCCAGCACTGCCCTGCAAGTCTCACTGAGCTCCCTGGGGACAGCCATCACCCTCTTCCCAGACCTACTCCATGTTTCTTCAAGAGAAACATCCTCTGAGACACTCCAGGCATCAGGCCACCCTCTGGGAGAAAACCCCATCACTCCTCCCATTCTATAGGCGAGCCAGTGGCCAGCTGTGAGTTCATGGGCAGGGTTAGCCTGGGAGACTGCTGTCATTGCTTTGTCTCAGGCTTTTGATTTTTGCTGGCTGCAAAGTAGTGTAGATCACCCATCACAGTAGAGGAAGGGATGCCGCTCAGATGCCAAGAACTGGTAAAGCTGCTTTGTTTTCAGGGAGGAGTGATTAACCCCAAAAATGGGCATTTAAATAACTAACAAGAAGACAGAAATGCTTCTGAAAGTATAGCAAACCATGTCAGGTTTACAGTCATTTCCAGTTATAAACCCAGCCCAGAGAACAGACTGTCTGATACTGCTTAGTTTCGGTGCTTTCCTCAAGCAGACTGCAGACATGAAAATGGGAGCTGATCCAGCACTGTAATGTCCAAATCTAACTTTAAAGTTAGATTTAGCTAACTTTAAAGCTCTTGCCTATCCTGGATTGTCCCCCTCCACTTCTCTCCCCACCAACACATCAGCAGTTCAGAATAGCATCACACAGGGGTACAGGGCTCCAGGTGCATCAACTCCAAACATTGTGCAGGCATTGATGCCAATGTATCTAAGGAGGAGAAACTTAGATTTCACATTCCGTAACTGGTGGCATTCTCTTTATGGAATGTCATATCTTCATGTCTTGTCTGTTCACAAAGGACCAAAATATTGTCATTGGCTGAGCTCCAGAGGCAGAAGCCAGGGCTGCTGGAAATAGGGTCAAGGAAGAAATGGACTCTACAGGCTGGGACTGGGAAAGCAGGGCTAACAGCTGGAACTCTTTCCCTGAAGTGCCTTCCCACCTTCTTATTTCTGTCTGCCCTCATTATTTGATTATCACGAGAGAAATCTAAAGAGTGTACTCAGTAAATCCTGAATAAATGCTAATAAATGACTACACTTGCAGACTGCCCTCTACACTTTTCAGATGCATTTGGGGCACTTCTCTACCATAGCCTGAGAAAATTGTACAGAATGAGAAGAGCTGAGGCAACACTCCTTGCAACTCATCAATCAAGAAACAATGGAAACAGACCAGGTCAAATGTTACTTGATGTTAGTTTTCATATTTCTGCTTGTTACAAATTTAAAGGATGCAGTGCCCAGCAACATCATCTGTGGTTTCTGTTACACGTGGCTCCAACCAGAGAGTTTACAAAAGGCTTTTCCAGGTCCCACTAAGCAGAAACTGTGCAGAAGATGGACGTGGATGGAGGTGGATATGTAAAAAAGCAAATGAGGAAATGGTGATCAGTATAGGAAGATGAAGGTATTACTTCCCTGTTGTGTTAGGTTTTTGTTGGAAAAAGAGCAAGAGGGTATTTTAAGGGAGCCTTCAAAGACCTGCACACCAAACTGTTACTAGAAACACTGTACTCTATAGCAAGATTTATATTGACTGCAGCTCCTGCTGTCTCACTATCTTCTTTGCAACATCACCCTCTTCTTGCATCCTAGCTATCATCCTGATCTCACTGACCATGATTTTGCATCATGAACGGGGTTATTTTCCTTCCTACCCACATATACTTGTCAGGCTTCTTGTGTACAATAGCCATTCTTAAACCCCTTGGAACTGTTTTTCCTTTTCTGAAATCTTCCAAACCACTCTAGACAATATTATTTGATATTTGCAGCCTGCAAAGCATCCTGGGAATTCATTTGTAAAACTAGTTTATTATAGATATTGCAAAAAATTCAAGCTTTACATGTGGTATGAATCTTATGTCTCAGCAAAGTTTTCTGTTTCCTCACGCAACGGGAATGGCTTTGCACACCAGGTACTGTATGTGTCAGTATGGGACATGCAGAACTACATTTATGTCTGAGAAGCAGGACCCAAGCAAGCAGTGTTAGTGGCAAACCCTTACATAGTTGTTCTCCCACACATATCCTCGCTGCTTGAGTCACTGGGAACTGTACTGTTCCCAATACCATATGTCCCTCTCTGTTTATGAGGCTAAGACTTGGGCCATATAATCCAGGAAACACAAGAAGGGTATGATTTTTTTTATTTTTTTATAGTCAGTGTATGAAGTGTTTTACAGGCAATTAAATCATTGTATCATTTTTGAGTCAGATTAGTGTGTTGCACAGAAGGAAGTAGTCATGAAAGAGGTGAAAAAGATACTTTTCCCTCGGTTCTCAGCACAGTTTTCTGAACAAGCATAGAATGCAGTTCTTTAACCAAACAACAGTCACTGACTTTATGAGGACACTTGAAACTGAGAAATGTTTACAGATTCTGCCTGTAACACATCCCTGGTAGACCCAAGAAGAGAGGATGCTCACAGGGGGAAGGCCTTTGCTGAAATGAGCAGTTTTGCAGCTTGGCTGACCTGGTCCAAAAGTATCAGTGCTGAAACTAGCAGTTTTCCTCCTCCCTCCCCTGTGCCCATCCCTAAGAGACTTGTTTCCTCATGGAGCAAAGCAGATGAAAGCTTACCCTATGAAAAGAAGGGGTTAGCTCACCACCCTGCAGTCAGAGAAGTGCTTCCACTGGCACAAGAGAGGGGAGGAATGTGGGAAGAGTGAATCCCCCTTCCAGCATCAGTGATCTGCACCCTGCAGTTTCGCCCACACCTGTCTCTTTGTTTATTTCATCTTGTACAACACATTCACACTGATTAATAAAAAGGGAATTCACAACATACCCATTGCTAGTCTATCTCATAGCCCCTTAGTACTCGTGCCAGGCTTTTGGGCTTGACTGAAAATAGCATTAACATAGAAGAAATTAAGACAGTGACAAGATTATTTTTCTTTTCTTGTAAGAACTCAAAATAGATGAAATGAAAAGTTAGTGCTGTGAAATTTCTCAAATGATATTACACTTGATTCCCAGGTGTGGTCTATATTTATTAATAATATTTAATGTCTGCTCTCAATTTCGCAATTTCTTTTATTTTATCCAAACATGATGCAAGCAGGGATACGAGCACCACGATCGCATTTTTGTTGCCTCAATTATCTTGGAAAGTTTCCAGCAGACTGAATGGAAAGGATAGAGGTTTGGGGACACCAGGCTCTGCTTATACTGACATGTAATGTGTTGGCTTACAGCTATGGCTGATGATTCAATTCTGAGTCCTGCAGCTTTAGAAAGAGAAGCATTTAGTGGTTTGAATGGTGAGAGGGTACACAAGTGCACCTTGTATCTTTCAGAAAAGCTTTTACTCTATCAACAGGAGAGATGGAATCTAAGCAAACACAATTTTCACTACAGAGGAAATAGTCAAGTTTCAAAGTATTGGTTTCTTCTTCTTTTTAACTAAAATTTGTTTTATGTTTGTATCCCTCTAAACACCTCTTAGCATTCTAATTTGCTTTAGGTGCTTTCCCCAGGCAAATTATGTAGAGAAGAAGCCCAGTACTGTTCGTTTGTCTTTATCTTGCTTCATGCTGTGCCTGGTGGCAGTGTGCTTCAGTTTCCCATGCTTCTTCATGAAAAAACAAGAGTACTGAATTCTTGGCTGGACAGCATAGCTCTACATTTGTGTTTGTTTTCACACATTAAAACCCTGGCTTAGCACAGTGTTAGCTTTGGACCTAGCAGCAAGTACTGAAATGGCATAGCTTCGGTTTTCACATTTCTCCAGGTGGAGTACAGCTAGAAAGCTTTACAGCCTCATGCCCAAAAATGGCCTTGTCTGTAGCATAGCAACAAGAAAAAAAAGTTCAGTGATAAAATTCACCCACCAGGTTTGTTGTAGTGGTTGAGCTCGTGGTCTTGCTCACTGCTCAAGAAGGTGGTGGTGGAAAGCCAAAGCAGCCATTTTTTAAGAAGAGCAGTATGAGAAGAAGAAGAGAAAACAAGTGGAGGCAAGATATGAGGGAAAGAAAGGAGAAGCAGACAGATCAAGGCAGAAATAAATAAGGCACAGTGGTGTGCAGAAGCTCTGAAAGCAGAAATGGAAATGAAAGATAGGATGTTGGGTGAGACACTTAGCAGCAATCCAGCCATGAACTGGCCAGTGCTGCTCTGCCATACTGCTCTCAGGCAGTGCTGTGATTCCCCAGCTGCTGCTTAGGGACACCTCTGCACTTCAGCCACCAAAACTGCCCCAGTCTGCTCTCCTAGGTCAGACAGAGCAGGACTAAATGGGGCCCTCTGGAAAGAGAGATGACTGGAAAAAAAGGTGGGTAAACCCCCTCTGGTTAAGGGAAATAGCCAAAAGTTAAAATATGTAAAATCTCAAAGTTTCTACACTGCTGGTATTGATATCTTTCTTTATCCATTTTATGCTGAAATAACATCAAATAAATAATTAACCAGATAAACCAGATCAAATAAATAAATAACCAGAGACTGCTACTTCCCCACTGTCAGTAGCTTTCTGGTAGGTGAACAAAGATGCAAAGGGGATCCTTATGCAGTCATGATCATTCATCATTCTGATTCAGTTGCTTCAGCATTTCCAGTGGCTGGCAGATGCCCGAAGCAAACTCCCAAAGCAAGATTTGATCTCTGAGCTAGCCTTATCAAAACCTTGAAGGCTTGTTCCTATATCTTCCCAATTCATTTACCAGTCAAGAAAAAATTACTGTTGGTTTGCCAAAGTTGCAGAAATTTGCAGTCCTTGTGCTGTATGTTTTGGGGGACTTTTTTTTTTTAATAATTTGGGTTTGCTCTATTTATTATGTTCATCTTTTGGTCTGTGTGGTTACAAATTATGCAGAGCAGAGTGGACAGGAATGTTTTCCCCTGGCTCATGAGCATTTTTGTGTTAGCCAGAGGTTACTCGGAATGGTAGAGCCCAGCCACATGCTCTGATGCTCAGTTACTCTCATAGCTGTGGAAGCTGCCAGTGAGATGATCAGTGCCACTTACTCTGAAGTGTTTGTCAAGTTATGCTGTGTGAATCCAAGGGAACAGTCCGTCTGAATTTCTCAAGAAATGGTTACTTCTGAGTAGTTTTGGCTCATTTCTCTAATTTCTGCTTTGGTTTTGAGCCACTTAGTCTCCTACCACCACACTACTGGGATAGCCACACTTACAGCAGAGCTTCCTTCTGAAAAATGTTGATGATTCATACAGTTCAACCCAACCATGACTTTCTGCAGCCATCTGAGCAGCTGCTTCATTTGCAGAACAAAATTCAAACCAGAAATAGGAAGTTCACAGCCAGGTTGCTAGTGTTGTTGAGCTAAAGTAATACATTAATAAATTAGTCATGCATTCAGCTTAAATGCTGTCATTTTGTTGACATCAAGGTTTGTGATTATGCTTATGTTTGGCTGTTCATAATTCTTATTCTGCTTCGCAGACTGGATAGCTTAAACTGTAAGTGAAGGTATAGAGCAGGATGAAGTATCAATGGCAAACTTAATTCTATGGCTCCTTTAATGGGAATAGTTTGACAAAGCTTGGAAGAATCATGTTGTGACTGAATCACAGCCTTGATTCTTACAATCAGGCTGCTGATTTCTTCACCACTTATTAACTTGTGTTTGTGGTTGGCTGTATTTTTATAACTTCCGTCAGGCAAGAGTGCAAGCATCCCACATTCATTCCAACCCTGCTTTTTGTGGTGACCTTCCCATGCAAATGCTCCACTGTGAAGATGGTCCATGACAAACCTGATGAGGATGGGCCAGGAAATGAAACTCTGCAAATCTCAAACTTGACCTGGAAAGCAGCCAGGGCATGCTCCTGCATGTGCTGAGTGCTGGCAGCAAGGCTGCTGCCTTCAATGTAGGTCACCGCTGGCTCATGGAAATTCACTGCTCACAACTCCATATGAGGAGAACCGTAAAGCAGCGCTTTACAGAAAGGAGGCAAATGGCTAATGCTCTCTGTGTGGTAATTACACGCTTTTTGTGCTGTAATTACAGCAGTACAGAGGAGTAGGCTTCTCATTGCTTTGGCTTGATCTCCAACATTTCCATGACCTC